TGGAAATCCGAGTTGAGGCCCCCTTGATGTGTCTTAATATAAACCATCCGCACGGTAGACTTTAATTTCCTTTTAATGAACACGCAATGAGCAAAGTAGACGGATGACAAGTCGAGTGGCTAAGTGTGTGGGAGTAATTAATTAATATTATCAGTTTAGATTTTGTGCTTGTTAGCAATCAGGCTATTTATAAAGTGCATAGAAAAGGAAAATGTAAAAGTTGTGGAGGTGTCAAATAGTGGCAGAGCGTCAGCATGATAAAAATAGCTATTTGCGATGCAATTACTTGTTAGTTCGCTGTAATAGTAGAGCTTGGTCACCAGCTCGTGATGAATTCCACGAACTGTCTTAGCAGCTTAGCTCCCACAGCAATCTGAAGTGTGGAAATATATCCTGCTTGGCCTTTAAGAAACTTACTTGCAAAACTTTTCGAAAAGAAATATGTGTAAATAAAAAGTTTACAGATGTTTTATTATTTATAGCTTCGCTTGACATAATTAGCTGACGCATTTGCATAATTCTATACGATAAGTTTTCGTGCAGCACTTGCAACTTGTTAATTATTATTTCAACATAAAGCGGAGTATGTGTATACATATATCTATGAGCTTAACACTTGAACTTTACCGTGTCCTCAATAATTTGCCATTACATTTAAAGGATTATATTTAAGTGCTGACCATCAACTGGTTGCCGCTGCCCATGATCAAAGCATTGCACGCACAATGACACAAACACAATACCAAATAATATTTGTTTCATTGAAAAATTTGCTGGCAGCCAACCCGTTTCATAAAGTTCTTGACAGGCAGCTCCAAAGGACAGCATTTTATGCCATCGAGCAAATACTTTTCATGGCAAACGTAGCCAAATAATTTGTATATTAGTTTTTGCATCTTTTCGGCAACAACAGCACAACCGGAAAATTCCCATATCTAATCAAGCAAGTGCTCATTTCTATGGAAAGTGCCTATACGCACACAGCCCGCAGCTGACACAGCTCGACAGTCGACAGCCCACCAAGCCACGCCTCTTCTTCCTGTCATATAGTGTGCTAAAAGCATATTAAGATCGTAAAAAAATTTTGTAGTAGCTAAAGCAATTGCATATCCTGCTGCACTTTTCGGCTGATAAGCATACAAAAAATGCTCCAGAGATAATCGAAGTGCTTGGCTAAAACAGTTTTGAGCACATATGTGCCTTAACTAGATTAACTTCAATTGAGCTTAGTGCAACTTACATATTTACAGGGAGCTTTAAAAATCGTACAAAAGCTTTAGAGCATACACTTCTTAGCTAGCCTTAAGTTTAAGTTTGCAATAAGTGCAACTGGACTTGCATAGTAAGGCGAGCTTAAAGCTTTATGATATAGCAAAGTTGCCTAATCTTAAACAGTTTTAGTAGTTGCTTGAATGAAAGGAAATGAAATGAAATGAAATGATATGAACTGGCATTTATAACTGATGCCAAGTGGTATTTTATAGCTTAAGCTTTTTCCGCAGGTGCTTTACAAGATTAATCCAAAGCTTACTCGTAAAGCAGCTTGGCCTTTTTAAGTATAACTTAAAGCTTTATGCAAGCTTGTGCAAGCTCAAGACATACTGAATGGCTTGCTCATATGTTAGTTTAAGATTTGATATTTAGTTACTTTTAACTTATACTAGCTTTAATTTATTTCGGCTGAAAGCTTTTCGATAACTTTTCTTACGAAAACGTAATGGGCCATTTGATAGCTTCAACTGTTCCCTAATGCAAGTGCCATATGATTTAGTTAATTATAGGTGCTTTTTTAAAAATTGTATTGCTTATTTAATTATTTTTGCGTTTCACTTCACTCAGAGGCATCCAGAGCAAATCTGTGGTCTGTTTCGGCTATGCTGCGTAATTTTTCGTGCTTGTCATAAAAACGCCAGAAAATTCAATTTCCGTTTATTACTTATTTATTAACTTTTTATTTTTGCTGCCCTTGCAAGTGCCCAAGCAGCTCTGCTCCCTTCCTACCTGTTGCCTAGTTCATACAACAGTGGCGACATTCAAGGTATGTGGTATGTGTCTGCATGTGTGTGTGTGTGTTTTATGTGTGTGCATGTGTGTGCTGTCATTCGGTACTTAGATGTCGATAGCAGCAGGCGTAACTGAAATGCTTCATTGCACTCAGCTGCACTGGCCAGCAGCTCTTCCTGGCTGCCAAATCGCTTAAAAATGCCGATGCACATAGAGCTAAGCAAACACCCACCCACACACAAATACACACTCAGACACGCGCACAAAGGAAAAGCATTTGTGCAGAGGATTTTGTGTATAACCCGGGCCACAACCCAAAAACGTTTGACCACTAAGATACGGGCCATGTGCCAAACAAAATGCTCCACACAACGTCGTATACTACTCCGGACCACACCTGACATATGGTTGCATGACCGAAACAGAGGCGCCTTCGGATTTGGGCCCTTAAGCGGAGGTAACATCTTTGCCAGCAAAGTTGCTTGTGGTCTTTATACTAGCCCCTAACTGCTGCATAAAATCATATAAGTCGCATGTAAACACGGCCCGTGTTTCAATTCAACTCAATTCCGTTTCACAGAAAACATAATTTTGTTTTAAATGCTTTTGCATTTGCGCAAATGATATATTTTCCTGGAATTGATTGTTAGAGAAATCAAGAACAGATTATTTGATGTGCGTTTATGAAGTGCATTTCTTCAGAAATAACATTATTTAACAATATTTACAATTTATGTTTTACAAGCATGTTTTCAGAAGAATTCCGTCAAATATTTTATTGAAATATATATTGCGTTTAATTCGATTTGTGGAAATTTGTCAAATGTCAAATGTCGTAATTTCAAATTCTGCCAAAGTTACTTCCGCGCACACATATATACATATGTAGCCAAAACTTTTAATTATGATAATTAAATATATATTATGCGTAGAGTCCCATTAATAAATCTTAATTGATATATGCCAAGGCTGTGGTAAAAACTTTCGTCTGGAAATTGCTTTTAATTATCTTCAATTGCAATTTGAAAGTACATTTCTGAAGAAGTTGCCTTGACGCAAAATTCAACAAGTACTTCAGTACTTTGGGCAAATATAACCAAAACTTTTAATGAATGAAATGCACAGTCGATCCAGCTCTTAACTCTTGTAATTAATCTGAGCAGGAAATATAAAGTTTGCGTTAATTTCATTTTATTGCCACAGATATTGTTATGGCAAACTTTTAGTCAGACCACATGACTGCGCCTGCATATTAAATGGGATTTAAGTGCGTAAATTTTGGACTATTCTGGGGGCATACGGCATACGGCTAATAGGCTAGCCTTGAGAGTTGCTTGAACATATAGGTATACGTATTTTAAAGCTGGTTTATACACTGCGCAAAGTGTTGCATGCGATTTTCGCTGTGGAGAGAGCGAGTGCGAGTGGAAGAAGGAGTGAGATCGGGTAGGTGGGTGCCAAATGTGTGCTGCATTGTTGTCAAAAGTTTGTCCTGTATGACATTTGTCATATATTTAATTAAAACCAAATGCCGGAAATATGAAGTGAAGTGAAGTGCAGAGCTGCGGCTGACAAAACTTGTCTAACTGGGTGCCTGACAGACACATAGACAGCAGGACGACAGCCAGAGAGGCAGACAGACAGACAGACAGACAGACAGCTGCCACATGGGGCTTAAAACAACACAGCTACAAAGCTCGTAGGCAGGCTACCCAACCCGATCTCTCGCCCTCACTCACTCCCAATCCCCAACAGATATCACACACACGCACACACACAAAAGGGTTGCCCATGTGGGTGATAGGAGTAGCAGAGCAGAAAAAAAGGATTGCCATGCCCTGGCATGCGCTGTCATTAAAAGGTTCGGAAAAAAAACTTTGAGTATTCCGCCGTAGCCGAAGAATATGTATGAAAAACACACTAGGAAACTCACAAAAAAAAAAAAAAATATTAGAGCAAAAAATATTACATGCAACACAAAAAAAAGAAAGAAAAGGAAACAAAATGCTGGGGCAAATGTGATTTAGCATTAAGATCTCAACTTTGCGCTGTGCGAATGTTGAAAATTTGTTAATTAAACAACGTCTCGTTGAAGCTCGTAAAGCCCATGAGCAACAAGCTGAGTAACAAATCCTGTCGAGACCAGGCTCGACTTTATGTCTCGTTTGTAGACCTACGAGTGAGGAGTACAAATTCAGTTCAGTTTTCTAATTATAAATATTAATATCTTTGTGGAGTAATATAACAAAATATGCGTACCATCCTAGACAAATCTAGGCTATAAATTGCAGCAACCTTAGGTGTACCCTTTGACTGAGGCATTGCAACAATAATGTCCAAAGCTGGACTGTGAACCCGAAACCCATTTTCTTCAGTTAGCTAAATGCCACTTACTGAAATGAATAATATAATGAATGTTAATATAATAGGAAACTATTTACTAATCTTGTTAAGCAATGCTGGCCGTGTCCTATTGCAAATATGATTATAATTGTTAATTTTAGCTTTGAGAAAGACCTACAGATCCAAATTACTAACAGCTCTGGCTATTAAGTACATATAGTCAATTAGCCCAAAGCGGGCTTCTTACTCGAACCCCACTCGTGTGGTTGCCTTAATAGCTTGTTCAGGACTGCACAGTATATACTCTATATGATACTGGAACTATCTAGAATATTGTGTGTGAAAAATAGTGGCTTATTGACAACTGTCAGTTCCAATGAACCCGTTCGGTGCAACTAGTTTGCTAGTTCACAAGCTCTGTGCGGCAAGTGAATTATTCAGCAAAAGCCTTTTACGAAATCTACATGTGTTCCTAACAAGTCAATTTCATAACTCTAGGTCAAGCTAATTGAAATATCGATTGGTCTTGCATTGAAAATGACTAGCCGCAAGGTGTTTGCGGAACGGAAATAATGACATGCTACCGATGGGCGGTGAATTGGTGGGTGAACCGCATAGTTCAGTGGTTCAGAGGTTTCAATAACTGTCAGTTATTAATTTATAAAACTGAATTATTTATTTAGCGTTGTTGTTAAACTGTAACGGCCAGTCATAACAACAACAATAATCATAACAATTACAATAAAAAATGAATTGAGAATAAAGACCAAAGGCCCACAGTACAAATAAACTGCATGTTCGTGTACTGCGCTGTGTGTGGGTGCGTGTGCGCCGAGTCGTTGCGTTCATTTGATTGTTATTAGGTGTTGAATACATTCCCTCAACAAAACAACAACAACAACAACAACAACAACAACAACAACAGCAGCAATAGCAACCAACTACAACAACTAAAAACACGTGCGTACTTCATAGCGCTTATCAGTACCATTCTCCAACAGCCCGAAGCGTTATCTCCTGCACCTGGGCATGTGGCGGCGTGGAGAGAGCGTAGAGCACCGCATGGGCCACATCGTCGGCCTGTAATATTACATCGCCCAGCTGCGTTTTGGTTTCGTCGGGCACTATCTCAGTGGATACCCAGCCGGGATTAATGCTCTGCAATATAAATAATTGAATAACAATTTAATTGTTGTTAATTAATTTGAATTTGAATTGATTTGTTTTTGTCCCCCAATTTGAAATATTCACATATTTTCAAATGATCCTCCGATCTTGCAGACTAAGTACTTTATTTGCTTATGAATATTCCTGTGAATAGGTAGAACCCGTACATTACGACCCCTTGCATACAATAGTAAAAATAATATCATTCTCAAGTGCTGTATATGCTTGTTAGACAGAAATGAAATGTGAGAACATAGAAAGATATATATATATATATGCACATATATATATATATATATGTATATATATATCTATGAGAAGTATCAGCAGCCGATTCGATTTAACCATGCCCGTATGTCTCTTTGTCTGTCTGTATCTATGCCAACAAATCCCTGAGTTTTAAACCTATCATCATATAATTCTTCATAGAAATGCAATTGTTCTATGAACAGCCTTTTCTTTTTCGATGTATCTGAACCATTTTGATCATATTGATCCTTTTTGTTAGTTTTAAATACTAGATAATTTTCCCAAGTTACTTTTTTTTTAAGTTTTTCGATCGAATACTTTTGAGCGAAGCTTAGTGGAATATTCGGAAGACATTTTTTGAAAGTATAGATTAAGTTAAGGTATTGCGAGCTAAAAGATGGGTTTGTGCTCCTAACGAAAAAGCTTTAAAGCGATGAATTCTGCTATGAGCCGCTAAATCTGTGCACCGCTGGGAAAGTATACCTCGCCAATTTAATATGACATTGCCCGGGTCTTAAGCTCACCGTGGTCTTGATTTTCAATTTCTGTGTGATTAACTCCTGTCGGCAAATCTCATGCACTGCGGTCAGCGCAAACTTGCTGGGCGTGTATACATTCAGGCTGGGATCGTCCGGTCCGGGATTATAGCCAGCCAGGCCGGCGGTGCTGTTGATGAAGAACAGATGGCCGGCCATCTGGCGGCGGCGCATGCTGTTGGCCGCCAGTTTGGTACAGTAGATGCTGCCCATCAGATTGGTCTGGAGCACATCGCTGATATCTTTGATAGGCATGTCCAGCAAATGGCCATCGCGCAGGATGCCCGCATTGTTGATCAGCACATCGATGCCGCCCAGCTGTTGTTCGATCCACTCGAAGGCGCTGTTTACCTGCGCCTCGGCAGAGACATCGCAGCTGCGTTGATGGAAGCGCTGACGCTGATCCGTGGGCAGTGATTGACGCAGCTGCTCCAGACGCTCGGTGCGACGCGCAAGGCCAACAACCTGCAAACCGGCGGCCACCAGCAGCTTGGCACAAGCAGCTCCGATGCCCGAACTGGCGCCCGTTACGACCGCAACACGATTCTGCCAGCGCTCCATGATATCTGTCAACTGCTAAATGTGCTGATGCCGGCAGAGCGGGCTGTTTATATAGACGCCGCTTATCAGTTGCTCTTTTTATGGCACAGCAGGCGGGCCGAAGTGAGTATGAGAAAGAGGTACACATGAACTCTTTCTCACTCTGGCTCTCGCTTTCGCTCTCCTGCTCTACCGCTCTCCCAGCGCTGTGGCATGACGTGTCGCTCGCTCACTGCTCTGCTCTTAGGAACATGCCACCCCACTACAACAGCTGTTCTCAGGTTCAGGTTCACTGTGCTGATCCGATTCCAGGGGCCTGTTTGCTTGTCAGCTCTTTAGCTCTTATCAGCTAGCGCTCCGTCCGGCTGGTGATAAGCCCCACTGGGCTAAGGGCTTTATAAATACATAATTCATCATTTATCTGCTGACTGCGACTTTTTGTCACCTTTTACAGGGTATTTTTGCATATATAAGACTGACATCTGACCTTCTACACCAAGAATGGTGCCTGTAAGCAGAAATTTGATCGGAGACGGCTCCTTCGTGAGAAACTTATAAGACCCTTTCCGAGGGTTTGTGAATCGTTGTTAAATACAATATCAGCAAGGGAATATGAAGTATCTGGTTGGAATAAGCTGTTTCGTTTGGACTGAAATTTCAAACAATTTAGTTTTATTTGAATTTTAGTTTTCTTGCCTTTAAGAAACTGCGGCACCATTTTGGCTTTGGGTTTAAGGTCTACTCTCAAATTAGCTGCTTGGTAAATGGGTTAATAAGGCTGCCGGCGATATAAACAACAGCCGCACACAAATACACACACAGACACACTGGGCTAGCATGTACATATATACTATATATATATGAATATATATGGGCTATTAAAAAAGCCAACATGCAGTGCTGTTAAACGGCGCCTCAAGTTATGCCCAACCCATCCAGAGATACACACACGCTTACCGCACACCTACCACTACATTTACACCTAGAGACACATACACACACACACACACACACACACACAAACACATACACACACATTAAATGGTATATGGCAGCCATATGTTGTCGGAGGATCTACTTGGGTCTTTCTGCTTTATCGCCGTTTTTCCTTTTTTATGGAACGCTCGTAACATTCAAGAGATGCTTAAATGGGAAACAATAAAAGCTCGATGAGTGGAGGAGAGTGTGTTGGGCGGGTGGTGGGGGTATGCGGGGTGTGCGCATTGGAGAGCAGCTGAGCGGAGCGGAGTAAAAACACTTGGGCAGGCTTAGGGCCAAATGGGTGCAGCTTCACACGAGCTTCTAACGAGCAAGCCTTTTTATACCCACTTTCTCTCCATCCCTCTCTCTCTCTCTCTTTTGCTGGCTTTCAATATATCTCTCATTTGTGCAAGTGTTGCAACATGTTGCAAGTGTGTGGCCATGTTCATCAAATCACGGCCGTCACTTTGCAGCACTTTATCATGCAATTACAAGTGCAAAACGTTCGCAGGAGCCATTTAAAAAAGAGCTCGTTACACGCAACAACAACAACAACAACAACAGCAGCAGAAGCAAAAACAACAATGTGCCCGGCATATCGATACACAAATTGCTACGCATGCTATCATGGGGCAACATGCCCCATCTGATTAACACTTGGCATTCCCAAGCATTCTATTGTTCTTGGTGGTATCGCCAGCTGCAAGATCCAGGCTCCTGGCCCAGGCATGAAAGACATGGACACAACAAATTTTTACTACGGCAAGCCGCAGCTTAAATACCCTTACATACTTGGTTCATGTCGATTCTTCACACATAATTCGTTAGCTGTCCAAAGTAGTTGTCTATGCATTTGCTGAAGGCATAATGAAGCACCTAGCAGATGAGTTGGGCGATTTAACTACGACTTACTGGGCAATAACTGGCGCTTTTTTAAAAATAAATATACTAGCTTGTATTGGTCGTTTTTTCGCGGGTAGAGTTCTTACCTGCCAACCCTTTCGCGCACGCGGAAAAATGTAAATTTTCACGTTCTACCTTGAACTTTCATTTTCGGCGGAGTGGATTTTTCGCCAGCGGTGCAACACGCTTACAATTTTTCCACATTGCTGTTTAAGACTGAGTTTAAGCGCTGTCAGCAGAATGTTGAGCTTGCGCCCATTCGAGCCTTGGCCTATGTTTATTCATCCAGTAAAATACGTCTTAAATGATTTCTCGCAATGTTCTGTGCAAGTAAATGTAAAACCAAGTGAAGGGTAAAGCAAAAAATGTCCTACAACGATTTTCCACCAATTTTATACACTTAATGGTGGGATATAGCATACGTAATCGGCATTTAATATATAATTAATGTGCCTGAAGTCGTATCACAATTTAATATGCCCATTGGAAGTGTATTAAAAATGTGTCCCGCTAAGCTGCGCTCATCAATAATTTGATGGCAATTTCTCGCATCTCATATTGATGCATGCCAATTTGTATAGATTTTCCTGGTATTCAAGCTGAAGGCAAACGCATTGCTATCGTTGGCCACGATTCAAACTATGCCGCCTCTGTCCCCGTCCCCGCCCCCAGGCCTGCTCAGCCTTCCACCTTTGGCTCTGCGCCTTGATACCTGCCACGCCTTAAACGGATGTTGTTTTTGTTCTTTTGTTTAACTTCCTTTGTCTTAACGGCTTCTCGTTTGCGTTTGTAAACGTGTCAATAGACGAGGGCTTAAATATGGCCCCTGCCCGAAGCTCTTGAGCGCCAAACTTTTCCTTTTTTGCTTAAGGAAAATTTGAGTAAAAAAACAATAACGAGAAAAATGTTGTAGCCTTTTGGCAGCGATTGCTTTAAAGAAGAAACAAAATGGCGATATCCAAGGGCAGTTTTGTAGCTATCGAAACTCGAAGTTGTCTGTGCTTTTTTTAGCTTATCTCATATTATTTTATTTTATACTATTTGGTTTTCATTTATTTGCATGCCACAGACACACACGTAAAATACAAGAAAACAACAAAAATTGACAGCTGGAAAAAGAAGTAAAGCATTTTAACAGCACAACACAGGGCATGAGAGACAGACAAAGAGAAAGACCGCATGGGAGAAACAGGTTAAGAATTATAAAAACAAGTAAAGAACATAGTGACAACTTCAGCTAAACGAAGTGGAAATACTCTAATAAAGGGAAGGGATATGAATCGATTACCAGGAAAATGTCAATAGGTGTTTATCCCAAAGCAATTCTCTGTCTTGCCTTCATAGGAGCGATCGGTGGAATGATAAGTTCATGTATGAAAATCTTTCTTGTTTATCAAGATATCTTGATAGCTTACCGTTATATTATATCATATTATAATATAATATAAATATTGATCAAAAAACAAGCTACAATAGGCTAAAAAATATAGATATTAATTTAAATACAAGTACATTATTCAAAAAAGCATTGAAAATTAATATAAGAAAAAAAGAAAATTAATATAAGAACCATCCATATTTAATAGAAATATAATAAATGATTATATTTTTATATTTTGCATAACATAGAAAAATAGTGGCTCAAAAAACTAAAACGCTTTCGCCGCCAGAGGTTTTTTGAGTTCGTGAAAATTAATGCTATAAACTCCGACAAATGGATGAAAATTCTCGGAATTTTCGGAAATGAGAATTTTATATTCAAGGTGTCAGTTGCATGGAAAATGACAAAATTTCAATTGCCAGAAAATTCAATTTGACGGAGGTGAAAGCATCCTGTCAAAGCAGTCGCAAAATAAAGAGCCATTGATTAAAATACAAAAAATGAAAAACAATTTAAATAGGAAAACGCATAAATAAGTAGGTGCTAATGGGGATTACAGGGATGACAACACGCGCCGAATATAAATAAATCTAATTTATAGAGGCCATACAAATGTAATTGGAGTTTAAAATTCTTTCGATTAGCTAGTTGTGTGGTCAACCCGATGTTTAATGCGGGTTCAAAACAATTTAGCGGTGTTTGTGCGCGTGTGTGTGTATACGTGTGTGTGTGCTTGCTTGTGGTGCAGCGTAAAATTATCTGCATAAATTAGCTGGGGGCCAGGTGCCAGCGTAGCGATGGCGTAATTTTATGTAAATTTAATTTAAAAACTGTTCTACAAAGGCAAAACAACAACAAGTGGCATGTGGCACGAGGCAACATGTGAGACCCGCATATACACACATACAAACACACACACACACACACACACACACACACACACACACACAGAGACACATACAGAGACGCGCGCCTGTGCATGTGTTAATGCGGCAGACATTATCTATGCATATGCCTGTGCTGGCGTGTGCTGGTGCGTGTGTGTGTGTGTGTGTGTCTGTGAATGTGTGTAATTGCCGGCTTACAGCTGTTTATCAACAGGAAAAGCAAAGCACAATTAAAATCACTTGTCTGCTTGTTGTGATTTGCACTCTTTCCCTCTCTCTCCCACTCACTCTCCTTCTCTCTTTCTCTCTCTCTCTCGCTCGGCTCAGCATCTCGAGCTGATGCTTTCTCGCTCTTTTGTGAAATTTCGCATGAATTTTTGCTATATATTTTTTAAATATACCCAGACACAATCACAACAGAATCTTTTTGCGCCCTACTCCTACTGCTGCATGCCCCCACATCTTGTTGTCGTCTCATTTTGAATTGTCCTTAACAACAATTTGTTTTTCTCGCCTTCGATTGGCTGCCATCATTAAAGTCTTCTGCGCTTCGGCATTCGCATTTGTTTTGCCCTTGAAAGCGTGGCAAGAAGATGACAGGGGCCTCAATGCTTATCCCCGGCACAAGGATGATAATATCCTGGCGCAAGGATAATGTTGGCTAGCCTGGCTGGGCTGGCAATATACGGCGCTGACAACAGCTGCTGCTGAGCTCCATGATATATATTTTTTTTGTCTAGTTTGTCCAACTACTTTGTCCCCACGCCAAGTTTTTGTTTCTATTCCACAAAATAGCTGTAATTAATTTTTCCAACGAACTAATCTAATCTTGATGAATTCTTGAAAATTGTTCCCCTAGTTTAAATTTATAGCCT